ACCCCAGCAAGCCGGGTCCAGACCCTCGATTGAGGGGGGGCCTGGGAGGGGGGGATGGTGTGATGGCCTGGGAATCTGATTCAGAGGGTGAACCAGAGGAATCCCAGCCTGCACAGGAGTCCCCGCCTCCAGGGCCGGCTGAATTGGGGCAGGGCCTTGATTCTGAGGCTCCTACACTTGTGCCGGATCCTCAGGAGCAGGCACCAGGTGAATCCATTCTGGCTCCAGAGGTGGTTGAGGACTCAGTGCCTACAGGTGAGTCTCCCCCTGGGCCCAGTAACCCTTTAGCCTCTCCTGAACTGCAGAGGCTCAGGGCAGAGAGGCGAAGGGAACTGGTGTCTCCCAGGAGGAGTGCTCGCCTTAAGGCCAGGACAGGTGGGTCTCCTGGGGGCCGGGACCGCCCCTGGCCTCAGAGAAGATAAAGGCCAGTCAGCCCGGTCCCAGGTTGCGGGAGCAACGTCATCGTTGAGTACCTGCTCCTGTCCGGACCCAGACCTGACCCTCCAGTGTTCCTGCCCCCGCTCGGCTTCCTGCTTCGGACCTCGCCCCGCTCCTTGCGAACTATTTCCAGGCTAGTGACCCAGGATTGGACTTCGACTACGTCAACGGTAACCTTCCCCCCGGGACCAGCACATGAGCACTTAGAAAGGATGCTGTGATTACTATGACCCAACACAAGTTTCTCAAAAGCAAGTCATGCCAGACTAATTTCTTTCTTTGATGGAATCACAAGCTTGGTGGATCTGGGGAATGCTGTGGACGAAGTATATCTTGATTTCAGCAAGGCTTTTGACAAAGTTCCCCATGATATTCTTGTGAGGAAGCTGGTAAAATGTGGGTTGAATGAGGTAACAGGTGGATTTGTAGCAGGTTGACTGACCAAACCCAAAGAGTACTCATTATTGGTTCCTCATCATCCAGGAAAAAAGTAATAAATGGGGTGATGCAGGGCTCTGTTCTGGGCCCACTGTTGTTCAACGACTTTATAAATGACTTGGATGAAGGAATTGAGGGGATGCTTATCCAATTTGCAGATGACACCAAACTGGGAGGGGGAGCTAATGCCACAGAAGACAGATTCCAAATTCAAAATGACCTCAACAAACTGGAGAACTGGGCGCAAGCTAACAAAATGAATTTCAATAGGGACAAATGTAAGGTTCTGCATTTAGGCAGGAAGAACCAGATAAACAAATATAGGATGCGGTACACCTGGCTTACTAGCAGTACATATGAAAAAGATCCGGAGGTCTTGGTGGACCACAAGCTTAACATGAGTCAACAGTGTGATGCAGATGCAGAAAAAGTTAATGCTATTCTCGGCTGCATCAACAGAAGTTTAGTGTCCAGATGAAGAGAAGTAATAGAACCCCTCTATTCTGCCTTGGTCAGACCACACCTGGAATACAGTGTCTAATTCTGGGCATGGGCATAGCCAAGGAAGGGTAGGGGGGCAGCTGCCCCCCCTAAATCAATACAAATCAATACAAATTTGAGGATCTGCACCCCCCAAACAAAAGCCTGCCCCCCTAACAAAAATCTTGGCTATACCCATGATTCTAGGCACCACAATTTAAGAAAGATGTTGATAAGCTGGAAGGTGTGCAGAGGATCAGTTGAAGTAGCTGCTGATGTTTATCCTAGAAAAGAGGAGACTGAGAACAGATATGATAGCCATCTTCAGATATCTCAAGAGCTGTCACATGGAAGATGGAGCAAGCTTGTTTTCTCCTGCTCTGGAGGTTAGGACTCAAACCCATGGCTTCAAGTTACAAGAAAGGAGATTCAGACTAAACATCAGGAAGAACTTTCTGACAGTAAGAGCTGTTTGACAGTTTTCTGAATCAAAATTGGACTCCCTCTGTACTATTTACACCTGAAAATTTGTAGACTCCTAGAGTTGGAAGGGATCCTGATTGGGATCTAGTCCAATCCCTGCAATGCAAGGAAGGAGAGTCTACAACCTCTTGAAGGAGACCATTCCACTCTTACCACGAGTAAGATCTTCCTGATGTTTAGTTGGAATCATGTTTCTTGCCATTTTAACAATAACAATAACAACAATTTATTTATATGTTGCCCCAGCCACTCTGGGCGCCTTCCAACAAAATAAAACATGAAACATCCATTGGTCCCCATCCTGCCCTCTGGAGCAGGAAAAGACAAGCTTGCTCTATCTTCCATTTAACAGCTTTCAGGTATTACACCCATTTTAACTAAATTCCTAGGCAGATCAGATAATTTTGCCGTTGTCCTTTTGTCAGGTGCTGTAAACAAATCACTACTAAAGTGGCAAAATTCAGGGCATTAGCAAGCATTACTAGGAACTGGAATATTAAATCTCTTTACCAAGCACGCTAGCAATGCAGCAATCCACTGAATGTGTGACAAAGCACATGCCTATCCTAGTCCTTTGCTGTGCTGATAGTTCCTAATAGTCTTCCACTGGTCTGTAAATTGCAAATTGCATTTGTAATTGCCTGTAACTTAGAGGCTGGTCTGTGTCCATGATAATACAAATTGGATTGGGCATCATCTGAGTTTAAGAGTGAAAAAAGATTTGCAGACATTCCTTTTGTAAATTCACTTCCCCAGGTGAGAAGCAGGAGTCAGAATGATCATGAGTTATTGAGCACATTAAACATTAACTTCTTGGTCTTATTTGTTAGCCCAGTTCTCTGCACTTTTAATTTTTAAGCACCGCCTGCCTTGGACCCAACTTGGCAAGAGATCCTGTGACTTTGCTCACCAGCTATGCATTATTCACCATGAAAGCTGTGGCTTAGTTGGGCTTCCTTGGCGTCCAAGCTCCAAAAAGCACACGGGCCTCCGTTGGTTCCAGTGATTTGGGGTGGTGGGCGAGGTGAGGGAGGGGGGTGTCACGAGGGAAGAGTGGCATTTTCAGCTCGATCCCTTTTGTGATCTCTGGCTTATTTCCATGCTCAGCCTGTAATGTACCTGTGGCTAATCAAAGATCAGCAGTGGCTGCAATATAATCTCTAGGAAGGTCCGGTTTCTCGCTCTTATCTGGAGAAGCAGCCAATACTCACCTCCCTGGGACTCGAAGGGCAAAGCCACCGACATGCAGCATGAATTATTGAGCTTTCTCCACTGGGACGGAAGAGCCGCTTCTCATAACTCACGGCATCGTGTTGAGGCTACGCTGGATGGATCCTAAGCAACTCGCCAAGCGAGCTCTGAATGGCTTAGCTGGAACCATTGTTTGAAACAGCCTTCGGGATGGCTGCCCAGGTAATCTTAGCAATGGGGCGAGGTTGTCGTGGTGGAGAACTGTCCAGACCTAGGCCGGGCTTGCTTCGCTTCTCGGCAGCCGCGCAGCTCCATGGCTGCAGATGGAGTCTCCCGCTGCCTCGACTGTGGGAGCACTATGTGACCTTGGGCAGGCCACGCTCTCAGCGTCTCCTCTGCATTTGCTCCTGTTTACCTAAGACAGTCCTGGCACCCTGAAACCCCTGGTTTTGCCGCCTTCTTTTTCTTGTTGGCAGGAGCTGCTGGAGTTCATTTTCTAAGTGAGGGGGTGGACTGCATCTTGCCTGTGGTGCGCATGTGCCCAGATTCCAGCCCATGAACAATAAGGCACCAAGAGGTTGCCATATTCCACGTTGCAGCTATGGAGGCATCTTTTGAACAACTGAGAACAAAGTGCATTAGGAAAAGAGTATTTGCCTTCTGCTCTGCCTTTCACCCAGAGAGAAGGCAGCCCTTGCCTTTTAAAGCAACAGACAACAGGCTATGGCAGAGTCAATAAGCAGATAGGATGTTGCCTCCATTAACGTCTCCTGCTGGCTGCAGGAAACAATATCTTGATATTATGGGTGTTACAGCTGGTGGGTTCTGTTTCCATCCGATAACTGCTGGAAGTGGGTGTGCACATGTAAAAGGGAACTTAACAGCCAGCTATCTCACAGAGTTGATGGAGAAAGGGCATCATCCATAAGGTTCCAGCATCCACCCCAAGTGTTGTGATGTGCTACTGGCATTCAAGCAACCAAGTCCAAGAAAGCCAGGGATCACAGCTCTGAAACTCTTCCATCCCAGTTCGGCCTCCACTTCCTGTTTTCTCCCTGGAGTGTAGGGTTGCCTTTCCTGGTCTGTCTCCAGGTTGCCTGGCCCCCTCCAGGTGGCAGGTGGAGGAGAGAAGGCCTTTAGTGATCATGGTAAAAATGATTAAGAGCGCTGTGCATACAGCTTGCAAGCTTCAGCCCAGCAACTGCAAATTACAGTACAGACACTCTGAAGGAATTTGCTGTCCTCTGCTCCCCTCTCCCAATTACTTTCCATCTCTGGGGCCTGCCCCTGTGATGTCACCAGGGGGGTCGGCCCTGGGTCTCAAGTCTGGGCCCTGAAAATTCAAAGTCTGGGATGGTCCTGATCCGCAACCTGGGTAGAATTTTAGCTCCGCAGAATTTGAGCTCCATGGGGCAGAAACCTAGAAACGCATTCCTTGTGTAGCACCATATACTCTGGTGGCATTATAAGACTACAGTACGAGCAACAGCAACACGTTTGTATGGAGCTGGTCCAGCCTGCTGCAGGATCCCCAGCTGGGCAGGTCATCTCTCAGCACCTGCCACTCTGGAACAGCTGCAGACACCCCAGCACCCCTAGGGCCCACCTTCTCCCTGGGCCACAAACTGGCACCTGGCCATTTTAATTCATCACAGTATCCCAGACATAGCATGGCTCTGGAGCATTGTGGGAAATGAAAGTGGACGTGTCGGGGGGTGGGGGTGGGCACCAGAACCAGGAAGGAGGCACACCAGAGGATTCCCTTCAAATCAGCTTTGCAACCAGGGAGTGGAACCTTGCCATTCCTGACAAGGAGCTCCTGGCTTTGCCTTTCAACTTATTTGGGGGAAGTTTCTTCTTTTGAAGTCAAATGTGACTGTATTGGATTTTCTTGGCAACTGGCCATTTGCATGTTTGTTTCATTTCATAGCACTTTGGTCACTGCTCCCAACAGGCTCAACAACACTCACCTCTTGCGCCAGGTCCTGGGTGCCACTCAAGATCAGACCCAGGGGCGGACTTCTGGGGAGGAACCATGGCAGGCTAGATATCGGCTGCTGGTACTCCTGCCAACAGACATAATTATGCAGTGACGAGAGATAATCAAGACATAAATCCAGATTGCCAAATTCCCTTTTGAAATAAGGAAGGACAGCAGTAGAGCCTCGCATGCTCAGAAGAAAACATTCATCGTGTTGGGGGAATGTCTGTCTTCAGGGGTGGAGAGTGAGGAAAAGCCCTTGGCCAACACACTTCCTAGTAAAGGCAAATGGACCCCTGACCATTAGGTCCAGTCGTGGCCAACTCTGGGGTTGCGGTTCTCATCTCGCTTTATTGGCCTTTAAATTAGGGCTTCAGGTCTGCAAACTTCCTTCTTTTAACAGCCAGGTGTTCTAGGGCAGAGTCATTTAGTGCATCCAGAAATGTGACCTTTGTCATGAGAAAGGAGAGACTTGGAGTGTGGCCATGCTTGGGACCCCTTTAATATGGCCAAATTACTTAGGCTGCACTCCAACGCATGCTTACCTGGGGGTAAGTCCCATTGTGCTCAGTGGGGGTTATCTCTGAATAGACATATATAGGACTGCATTGTTAAAGTTCCATTATATTTTAATTTCCCAACCCACTGTGAGGTGTGGGTGCCCACCCCAGCCCGCTTATTAAAACCCCACCACTCCCAAAGCTCATTCTCCTTCCTGCTTCTCCACAGCCAAACAGGGCTTATAATAATCATGACAGGGAAGATGCGGCAGTAAATCTAACTAGGGTTGGGTCATTTGTTTGCTTCCAGCCAGGCCGTTATAAAAATCTCATTTCCTAATGCAGTCAGCCATGAAGTGGCAGCAGCGGTGGACAGAACCTGTTTGTTCACTTATTTATTACACGAGGCATCGCTGTTGTGGTTGCTTGTCTGGTAAAAGCAATGTTTGCATTAAGTGGTTCTCTAGAGCCTTTTACACCATAACAACATTATTGAAGGGGGGGGGGGGAGAGAGAAAGTAAGAAAGTAAAAGTCCTGTGTAGGGATGTCATTCATTCAAATAAAGTAGACCTGCTCATTCCCCTTTAACATTATACACTAGGAGGTTTGCTTGGCACAGAGTTAAGTGATAGATAAAGCTTCACCTGTTTAATTGCTGCCTAGCTGGCTGCTGAAAAAAGCACAGGCTCAGTCAAATACAGGGGGGGGGGGAGAGGTACCACCCAACTGGTGATGCTTCTGTGATTTCACAGGACACCCGCGAACTGTTTTCTTGTCTTTAACAAGTCAGAGCCCCTGAATCTGAGGTCTATGTTCTCTCATCCACCAACTGTAAAGCAGTTCAGAGTGCGATCCGGTGCTTGTCTACTCAGAAGGAAGCCCCGTTTCTAATGGAAATTGCAACCCAAGCGATTATGAAATGGAATGACAATTCTTCCTCTTGCCATTAAGCCCCGTTGGTTCACTGTGCTCCGCCGGGTGTCCTTATCTGAAGGGGCCCCGTCTCCTAAACACAAGAGGGCCCAGCCGCACCTGCCCCAGCACCCATTGGCACGCCACCCATTTCAAGCGCCAGGCAGGCCTTCCTCCAAAGGTTTCTGGGAGCTGTAGTTTGTGGAGGGTGCTGAGAGTTGCGAGGAGAGCCTCCCTCTTCCCTTCCCAGAGCTGCAGTTCGCAGTCTCCTCCTCTCAGCACCCCACAAACTACAACTCCCAGAGCCCTTTGGGGAAGCTGTGCCTTTAAAGGGATGGCGTGGCTGGGGCCCAAGGAGCAAAATGGCTCTGCCGGTGGCTGCTCCTTGGAGGAGAGGCAGCATGCCGGAGGCGGAGGAGGTAAGCGGAGCTCCGGGAGAAAAGTATGGGCAGCGAAGGGAAGGTTACTTCTCTCTGGACTTTCTCATCCCCTTCAGAGGCCCGTCTGAGAGGCGGTTAAAATGAAATGGGGGGAGGCAGCAGGGAGACCCCACGCTTGGGGTTTATTGCCAGGGAACTTGGGAGCGCTGTTTTAAAGAAACCAAGGGCTATTTATTGATTTGCTTTATGGTCCGCCCAGGAGCTGAAGGGGCCACGCAAGGCTTTCCTGTGCCCCCCCTCCCCTCCAGGGAGCTTTGTCGGCTGCCTCAGGGGAGAGGCGCTGGGGGGCATCGGGGGGGGGGGCTCCCGAGCTGCCGCGCCCCCATAAGCTCCCCACTGCCGGGAAGGCGGGAAGGAGGATTCGGACGCCCCAGGGACCGGACAGAGGGGGAGCCACCTTAGCCATCGCTTCGGTCAGTAAAACGGGCAACAAAGGAAACACTTCTCTCCAGCCAAGTTCTTCTGCATTTCTTGTGATGTTGAAGTAATAAAACTCTTCCCCTCCCCGCCCGCCCCGCCCCATGAAAGAGTCCCCTTATGCAAACTACTTAATTTTAGCTAATCAAACAAAGTGAGGCCTACAAAATGGTCGCATTGCATAGAAGGCAGCTCCCTAGTCAGGCATTTGCTCCCATTGGGGCAGGTTGTGGTAGCACTTACACACCCAATGCCTTGCTCCTGCCTTGAACGGGGTGCCGGGCCTGGCCCCCTGGTTAACTTTCCTGCCGGAGGGTGTTGATTCACTGCCCCCAATGCACCTAGGCTTGAAGTTGGGCAACTGAGAAAATGAGGGGCCGGGTGTAGCTAGGGCATTTGTCAGTGCTGCTGAATACCCCTTATACAGTGGTACCTCTGGTTACAAACGCTTCAGGTTACGAGCTCCACTAACCCGGAAGTAGCTGCTCCTGGTTGCAAACTTTGCCCCAGGATGTGAATGGAATTTGCGCGCCGGAGGCCCCATTAGCGATAGCGTGCCTCAGGATAAGAACGGTTTCAGCTTAGGAACGGACCTCCAGAACAAATTAAGTTCATAACTAGAGGTACCACTGTATTAGGCTTATATTTGGGGCTTTTTTCAGATGGAACTCAGGTCTGGCACCTCTCAGGTGGGTGCCATTGCACCTATTTTTCTAGAAAAATAGCCCTGGCTATATTTTGCCTTTTGGCTACAAGAGCCCACACAATAGCTTATCATGCAAGAAAATACAGAACTGAGGGGTTACAAGAACTGGGGCAACAGGAAACCTATTTGTAGTAGCGGGGTTCAAAAAGTAAAGCACTAAATAGCCCTCTTCACAGTTTGCTTGAGGGCTAGAAGAGAGGGAGCCCACTGGGGCTGTCCCTAAGAAGGCCTTGTCCCGTCACACGTCAACTAACTTCATTCTCCTGCTATGAGGTGCACTTTAGTTGGTTGGTCTTCCTGGGAAAGGCGCAGTGTCTGGCCAGCAGCTCACAGGGGCAGAAGGGCAAAACGAGGAGGGCAGGGGAAGGTAGCCCAAGCTCTGCACTGGAATGAAGTGCCCACCATGCAGCTATGGAAGATGGGGGAGCATCCAGAGTGTGTCTACCCAACAAACTCATAGGGAAGCCTATTTGACTGCCCACCAAGAATCTTGGGCGCTGTTTGGTTGAGGGGCTGAGAATGTTGTATGGATTTGTTTATTTATTAACCTGATCTTCCTCCCAAAGGAGCCCAGGGCAGCAAATCACAAGTGATGAAACAGAACTCCATTTCTCAGAGTTTGCTAGGAGGGGAGGGTGCCCACTAACTTCTTGCTCCAAGATGTGTGTGTCATGTGTGTCTGTGTCTCCTGTGACCTCCCAGGGGTTGGATTCCAAGTCCCTCCATTCCCAACTTCTTGCCAGGTCTGATGAGACCTGAAGCCCAACAGCACCTGGGGGGCTGCAGGTTCTCAGACCCAGATTTAATCCAATCCAAGCTGAACACACCATGCATTTAAAGCGCATCAAAAGTGCATATTCCCCCTCCCAAGAATCTTGGGAACTGTAGTTTATCCTTCACAGTGCTAAAATTCCCAGTGCCCTTAACAAGGCACACCTCTCGGGATTATTTGGCAAGAGTCGTGGGCTTTGAAAGTATGCTGTGTGTGGAACCTGAGTGTCCAGGCCTCATTTGGTGCCTTGGTGCCTTTGCTTTCCTATGTCCTAAGTCCTTCTTTTGGGTTTGTTTCCCTGGTTCGACTTTGCAACCGCTCAGCTCACAATCGACTCCAGGGAAGTTGCTGTCACTGCATTGCTCTGTGACACTGGATTCGAGAGCGAGGCTTGGGCAGGTCAAAAAGGCTGATGTCACGATTGATTGGGAACGTGCAGAGTGATACTTTGTAAAATTTCTGCTGAGATGCATTTCCTCCTCTAAGGTACAGGCTTCTCAGCCCTTCAGATGCACCGTTGTCTTTTTGACAGGTAGTCTCTTGACAACATTGTCCTGGGGTTAAAATGAGTGCAGCACTTTTGGAACCAGGAGAGCATGCAAAGTACGGCAAGTCCCGTTCCTCCCCCCCCCCCCAACTATCTGTTAAGTTGAGAATCAGCAATGGGCTGCCAACTCAGCACACATTTAACCCACAAGGTAATGCTGGAATCCGGCAGTTCAGTATCCTACCGTCCTGGTGCTGGAACCAGAATCTAGGTCCTAGATGAACTTTGGTCTTGGCTGCAAACACGACATCTGACCCCACAAGCATTTGGACTGATGCAGGGGTAAGTTAAAGTTGCAGATGTTCTGTGCAGTTGCTCTGGGGACAGTGTAGATTTTGGCTAAGTTTGAATTGAGCTTGAATTGAGTTGCAGCTGAGAAAGGTTTAATGGGATGATTTAGTCACGAAATGCAAAAGTGGATCTGTTTTGTTGCCCTGCTATTTCTCTAAGATGTAGGATAAATAAACAGACAAATGTCAGCTTTCTCAACTTGCCTCGATGCCTGGGCTGGGATTTATGATGGTTTCCCCTACCTGCAATTAGACTAGGATGCATGTGCTTGTTTTCTGCCAGGACTCGGGGACATCTGTTCTCTTCTACTTGATGGGAGATGTTAAGCCCCTGCTCAGCTCCACGTCAGTAAACTTCCATTGCAGGGCCTGGGACCTCTTGGTGATGGAGGGTCTCTTGGAGGGGGGTGGGCTTCTCTTCATGATCAGACCTTTGATACAGGGTTGGCATGTGATGGTTGGTCCAGTATTGTCCAGTAATAAAAGTAATTGCAGAATCAGTTTCTTAGAACTGCATAGTGTGCTGATTACAAAGAGCATCTTGCACAATGCCCAGAGTGCAGCACCTCCAAAAGCTTTGTTGATAAATCTGTATTTATGAGCAAGACTTGAGGGTTAATTCTGAATCAGTTAAGCCAAGCAAAATTTCCAGTTGTGGGGCAGGGAAAGGGGGCATCACTCTCCTGCCTTTTATTCACCAGTAGTTTTGATTTAATTCTTTATAAGAGGGATGGGAACCCCCTTTTTCTGTTGAGGGCCACGTTCCCAAAGGTGCAATCTGCCAGAGGCCTCGTGCCAACTGGGTGCACAGCTGAAGCCCATGGTAGGCAGGGCTGGATACAAAGTGGGGAGCGCAACCTCCTCTCTCTCTCCGGCTTCCTCTCTGCCCAGCCACTACACGACGGTGCCATTGGAAGCTGCTTTTTCTCAAAGTCAGGGCCTTGATCCGCTTGGCTCAGCATTGCCTACATGGACTGGCAACACCTCTTTCAGAAGGGGAATATTCCCAGCCCTACTACAGATGTTGGGGGGTCAAACCTGGGACCTTCTGCAAGTAAAGCAGGGGCTGTGGCTCTGAGCCACGACCCTCCTTGTACCTGCGGCCTCTTTTGACCCCCACAAGATTCACTCTCTGCTGCTGACCAATCCACAGATAGGGAATTGCATACCCCCTTAACTTTCTGAAGCCCAAGAGACCCACTTTTTTGTTGGTTTCCCTGCTTGAAATTTGAATGGCCCCTGGCCCCTGGCTTGGCCTATTGTTTCTGCACCCCAAATGAGCAGGAGTTGCACCTTCTCCCTGAGATGACAGCGACTGGAGGGTTCTGGGGGAGGTGGGCAGGGGAGACCGAAAGAAATATGCCTTGATTCCCTCCCACCCATCACAAAGCCCACACTGTTTCAAAGCACCAGGATTCCTGTCCCAAAGAAGGTTCTCTTGACCTGGCCCACCTTGCCATAGCATCCAGAGCGTGGACGTGCTCTGCCTGGGGCTCCCCTTCTCTCTCTCTCTTAACCTGTTCATTCTTCACCTGTCGCATTGAGTGGGGAAGGCCCCAGAGGAAGAGGCCTGACATGGCAGGTCTAACGGAACCCCGCCCGCCCCCGGCCCTGAGCTAGAGGACGGCTGAGCCGGTCGGTCCTCGGCTTAGTCACTGTAGACCTGCCTGAGCCTGACAAGAAAGAGTTGCCAGGAACAAATCTCTATTGTTCGCTGTCATCTTTAAATGAGTGTCAAAGTAGGCAGGGGGGCTTTGACCGTTAACTGCACAATTTGGCGGGGGCCCTTGTGTCCAGCCTGGCCAGCCCAGGCGCCCCCCTCCCGTTTCTCAGATTAGCAGAGGCGGACTCCAGCCTCTCTCCTAAATGGGCCATCGTTGGCCCTTTGTCCACAGACTGCCCGGTGTGAAATTTGCAGCGACGTTAAATGTTTTCTAATGAATAATTATTGAAAGGAAATGGTGGGATGT